AAGAGGTGAATCGGAGAAGGGTTTTTCAGCAGTTGAATTTTCGATTGATAAGGACGAAATAGAATTAACTTGGCAGGTTAGCCAAATGTTGGGTGTTAACTTTAAAGGGGGAAAGAAGGATTTTGCTGAGAAGTTTTCGGAGTCCAATTCAGCTAGGAGGGAGAAGGGTGGGTATTAACCCTTATTTGGTTGAAGGTTTTTAATTATTTTTTATGGTTTGTGTATCTTGTGTCACTTGGAATATTAGGGGTTTAGGTAGGAAGGAAAAGGCTAGGGCAGTGAGGAAGGTGGTTGTAGATAAGAAACCGTTGTTTCTTTTTCTGCAAGAAACAAAATTGGAGGTGGTTAATTTAGGTATGAGGAGGAAGTTGGGGGTAAATACCTAGGTGGGTTAGTGGAGTCTCCGGCAGTGGGAGCATCAGGAGGATTGGTTACTCTTTGGGATGAGGACTGGTTTTTACCTCAGTTGGTGAAAATTTCATCAAGGTTTATAGCATTGAAGGGTACAGTAAAGGATAACCAAGAGGTGTGTTGTTTTATTAATGTTTATGGGCCCTCTGTTGAAGCTGATAAAGAGGCTTTTTTTGAGGAGTTAACATGTTTTATTTCTTCATTGGGATGCCCATTATGTGTAGCTGGAGACTTTAATGCCCATTTATCACAGGAAGAGAAGATGGGGAAATCTCTGAATGAAAATTCAATTGGGTGGTTCAGGGAATTTCTGTTTCAAGCAAGTTTAATGGATCTGCCTTTGGTGGGAGGGAGTTTCACTTGGGGTAATAATAGGGAAGATCCTACGTTTGTGAGGCTGGATAGGTTTCTAGTTTCGGACGACTTTTTAGGTTTATTCCCGGATGTTGTTCAGCTGTTATTACCTAAATCAATTTCAGACCATAATGTTGTGGCATTGGATTCCAGTAAGCTAAATTGGGGTCTGAAACCTTTCAGACTGTTCAATTATATCATGGAGGAGGGTTTTAAGGAAGTAGTGGAAAAGAAAATTTCAGATGTAAAGAGTAGGAAGAGGCTGAGCATTGAGGAGTTACTTAGAGAAACTAAGGTGGAAATCAGAAATTGGTCTAATGAAAGCATAATGCAATTACACAGTTTGATTGACAGCAAAGAGAGGCTTATCTCGAATCAAGAAGCTCAACTACAACAAAGGAATTCTTTCGTTTCTATGGTGGATGTTGCAAAAGAAAAAAGTGAATTATGGTCATTGCATAAAAAAAAGAATTAGATTGGTTCCAAGAACCAAGGGCGCAGTGGATTATGGATGGGGATCGTAATTCAAGGTATTTTCATCAATGTGCTACAAATAGAGGGAGGATTAATGCTCTTAATTCTGTGGATGTGAGTGGTAATTTGATTGAGGAGCCGATGAGGATAAAAGCTGCTATTTTTGATTTTTTTTCAAGAACGCTTACAATGCTATTCCGACGGTCGAAGTTGAGAAGTTGGAATTGAATTTTAATAGGCTTTCAGAGGATCAAGTTGCATAATTAGAAATGAATTTTTCGGAGGGGGAAGTTTGGAAGGCAATAGAGTCTTCGGATAGTAACAAAGCTCCGGGTCCAGATGGATTAAATATGAGATTTTTTAAGAAATTTTGGCCAGTTTTGAAAGGAAATATTCACAAGTTTTTCGAAGATTTTTACGAAGGGAAGAAGTTTGGGAAAGGTGTCAATCATTCTTTCATTACTCTAATTCCGAAAAAACAGGTTGGCATTGAGGATTACAGACCAATCAGTTTGGTAAGGGGACTATACAAAATTTTGTCTAAAGTTCTGTCAAGAAGGCTAAGGTTGTGCATAGGAGGGTTAATTGATCAATCTCAATTTGCTTTTATCGCGGGAAGACAGATTTGTGACTGCTCCTTAATTGCTAATGAAGCCATCGATTTTTGGAGGAGGAAAGGAAGGGAAGGTCTCGTCTTCAAAGTGGATTTCAAGAGGGCTTATGACACTGTTGATTGGAATTTTTTAATTCAAATTATGGAGTGTATGAGGTTTAGCGGAAGATGGAGGTTGTGGATATATAATTGCTTAAGTTCAACTTCTATTTCAGTTCTTATTAATGGCTCTCCTACTGAAAGTTTTAAAATATCTAGGGGGCTGAGACAAGGGTGTTCTTTATCCCCGCTCCTGTTTAATCTAGTGGGTGAATTTTTGAATTTGTTGTTATCTAAAGCAGCAGTGTTGGGGCTGTTTGAGGGTTTTCAAATAGGTTCTGATAATTCTTCTTTGATGTTGTCTCATTTACAATTTGCGGATGACTTGATTATTTTTTGCAAAGCCTTTAAGGGACAGTTAGCAAATCTGAAGAGGGTTTTGGTTGTATTTGAGATGTGTACAGGGCTTCAGTTGAATTTGGTGAAGAGCAGAATTTTTGGTATTAATTTACAAGAGCAGATTGTTGGGTAGTGGGCAGAATCTATTGCTTGTTTAAGAGACTCTTTTCCAACAGAATATTTGGGATTACCATTGGGAGCAAAGAGAAATTCTATTCAACTATGGGATCCGATTGTGAATAAGTTCTATCAGAAATTGGAAGGCTGAAAATTATCTTCACTATCCATAGCAGGAATGACAGTTTTGATAAAATCAGTCCTGAATGCACTCCCTAATTATTATATGTCACTTTTCAAAATGCCAGTAGTGGTGAGGAAGAAACTGTAATCTATTATGGCCAACTTCTTGTGGGGTTCATCGGTTGAGAAGAAAAGGTTTCATTGGGTAAACTGGAATACTGTTTGTAAAAATAAAGAGTTGGGGGATTGGGAATTTCGGATCTAAAGCTACGGAATAGAGCTCTATTGGGCAAATGGGTATGGAAGTTTGGTACAGAGAAGGACTCTTGGTGGAAGACAGTGATATGTTCTAAGTATAATGTGGGAACGAGTTCTATTGTTTTAGATGATAATTTGCCCTCTAATGTGTCGTGGATTTGGAAAGGTGTTTTAAATAACTATCGGACTGATGACTCATTTGGGTTATGCTTTCGAAATAATCTTGTGCTTCAGGTGGGAAAAGGAGATTTAATTAGATTTTGGCATGATTCATGGATTTCTAACTATTCCTTGAAGACTCTGTTTCCGAGGATCTTTGCACTGTCAGTTAATAAGGAAGGGGTTGTGGCTGATTTTGGGAGTATGTCTAATGGGGAGTGGGTGTGAGATTTACAACTTAGAAGGAATTTAATGGATAGTGAGTTTGAACATTGGATGGAAATGATGGTATTGTTGGATAATTTTCGTCCTCTGTTGAAGGGTGAAGACCGTTTGGCGTGGAAAGGTAGTGGGGATAGTGTGTTCTCGGTTCAATCTTGCTCTAGATTAGTTTCAAGTTTATTAGACTCAGATAATTCATGGTTGGAGATTGTGTGGAAGGGTTTAGTTCCACCAAAAGTGGAGATATTCCTTTGGCAAATTATTCATCAGAAGTTGGTTGTCAAAACTGTTTTAATAAGAATAGTAAAAAATATCGAAAACCCACTATGTGTGTTCTGTGGAGTGGAACCAGAATCTGTCAGTCATTTATTTTTTTCTTGCGTCCAGGTTTGGCAGATTTGGGTCAAACTCCTCCGTCTGTGAAAAGTTATTTCAGTCCTACCTAATAATCCAAAAGGCTTCTTGCTTTCATGGTTGCAATTAAGACCTAACTCGGGTATTTGGAGATTTATTCCAGGAGTTGTTTTGTGGTATGTATACTGATTTTGGAAAGTGACTCGTTTCTTGCTGTGAAGTGGATCAACAGCCCGGAACATAGCCCGGTTCATCTTGTTGATTTGATTACAGAAATTCAGAAGACAGTTATGCAGTCTAATGTTATTATTAAGCATATCAGCAGATGTATTAATGTGGAAGTTGATTGTCTAGCTAACTCAGGAATTGGTTAGTGAGTGAGGAGGTTGTTATGAGTTGTGGTTCTGGTGTATTATTTTGGCTATGGTTCTATGTTAGGTAATCTTATGTAATTATGGGTTATTAATATATTAAGGCACTCTTTTCCTCCTTCCGCTAGTTGTCTCCACACAAGAGGCAACTATGAGGGAGGTTTTTAATGAGGTCTTCTATTCCTATAAAAAAAATTGAAAACCTAAAGACACAATTCTTCTAACATCTAGATCCTTTCCGCAAGTCCATCATTCAATTCCCATCAGAAAAAGAAAACCACAACTCTAAGGTTGACTCAATATAAGAAATGAGAAGCTTGATAAAGAACCTCTTTTGCTTGCATTATCTCTTCAAATAGCAAAGTTCCATCCAAAGCCATGATTGCTTCAACTCCAAAGCTCAATCCTGTAAGACATAGTGGTGAAAATTTGAGGTCAAAAAATTAGAACCCATATTTTACTTTATAAAAAAATATATATATCATATACGACTGCACATATTGCACAAAAAAGTTATATTAGGCTTGCAGCTTGCTATTAGTTTATATTTGTGTAATGTTATAGCATTTATTTATTTAGTTGTGTAAGGTTATAACATTTGTGGAATCTAGTTAGTTGGAGAAGTAAGAAGCAGAGTATAGTTGCCCGATCAAGTGTTGAGGCAGAATATAGATCCATGGCTCATGGTGTTCATGAACTTTTGTGGCTACAGAAATTACCAGATAAATTAAAACTTGCAGAAGAAAACAAACTATCCTTGTAATGTGATAATAAGACTGCAATCATTATGCTCAAAATCCAGCTGTACATGATTGAACAAAACACATGGAGAATGATAGGCACTTTATTAAAGAGAAGTTGAGTACCGGTGTTTAGAACTTAGTCCATGTGGCATCTGACAGAGTTTAGCTGATGTCTTCACCAAGGGACAACAACATAACTTATCATAATTTGGTTTGCAAGTTGGGCATGTCTGACATCTATGATTCTATGCACTAACTTGAAGGGAAGTGTTTAGCCAGCTAATAAGTTGATATTTAGGAATTTTACCTATATACTATTTTATTGTATAGATTTTTATTTCCTTAAATAGGTTTTACTTTTTTTTCTTCTTAAAGTTAATACATGAGTGAATAATTCCTCTCCCTATTTTGTTCTTTGCATTGCAACAGTAAACTTAGTGCAGTGCACTTTGAAAATCTAGTCATACTCCACAAGTGATTGGCCAACATGTTTCAGAGTAGCAATATAAGCCACAAAAAACTAGTTTGGTCTTTGGCCAAATCCATCGTTAATCAGGTTTTCAAGCATATTGTTGTACGGAGGTTAAAAATTTGTCAGAGTTGGTGTGCTCCTCCTCTTGAGGGCAAGTGGATATTATTCTTTCTAAGGGTTACTATAGTCTCAGTGATTACCCATCTAGGTGGGGGAACCTGAAAAGCAAATGGCTGATTCAGATTAACAAATGAATTCGTAAGCCTGCAGCTACAAAAGCAGTATCAACCTCCTATCGTCAAAGGAAAGGCAGTTTATGCAATTTACTTCCATCAATAACTGCCAGCTTGTATTGAATCATTGATGTACCTACTCAGAATAGCTATATTGGACTAGAATTGGCGGGTGAGACTTGGAAAATTACTACTCTTTAAGAACCCTAAAAGAGGATGCTCTGTCATTCCAGGTCTCTTAAAAAGGTTATTGTCTTCAGATTTGAATTAATACAAATAAGACAAGATGACAGATATTCAGAGACAGTGACTCTACTAGTTTAGACCATGTACAGAAATAATCACATCATCATAAATAAATTTCCATAGGAATATAATAAAAATTCAAGAACAAAATAATACTCAAAGATACAATTCAAGTTTTGAAATAGCATTTCAGCTCATGCACTTTTCCCTTATGGGATCGAAGTTGATAACTATTTGAAAGAAATAAAACCAATTTGCTACAATCTAGATATCATCAACGATGTGTATCACAGCTAAAGGTCAAACCTGTGTTAAAATTTTCTGGTAGTGTATCAAAGTAAATCTTGAATTGCGAATGACAATTGTGCCTCTCCTTCATACTCCATAACAATGACATAGTCTCAGATGACATTCCATCAATACTCCCTAAGACTGGATACTGCAATCAGATATAACAACAAAATGTGATTATAAGCTCACTTTTATATAATAATGGTGTCAATTTGGAATAATATCCAGAAATCTTTGAAATAATGAAATGTACCATGTCAGATTTATATACGAGATCCTCAGAGATTATAATCGATGCAGGAATCTCCATAGCAATGTCACCAACTTCCAGATCTTCCGTTGCAATGGCTCCTCTACCAGCTCCTTCAATATCTGTATGAAGGCCAATGCAAGAAAAGGGTAATAGTTAAAACATTGACTTACTTCGCTTTTATTTCAGAAACAGTTTTTGAAAATTTTCCTTTAAAGGTATTGAAGCATCTTTTGAATGTTAAAGAACTGTTATACTTATGTGCTCCAAATAGTAATTAAGAAGATAACAATATAAAGAAAAAAAAACTTGTTCAGAATAAATCGTGTTTATTTCTGCTGAATATGGCTGACTTAAATAGAGTTTACAATGTAACAACTTTACATAAAAAGATGCATAAAATTAGCAACATAATAAAAATGATTCTATCTAATTAAAAATGATCCTATCTAATAACTAATAGAATAAAAAACTGATTCTATCTAATTAAAAATGATCCTATCTAATAACTAATAGAATAAAAACTGATTCTATCTAATTAAAACTGATCCTATCTAATATTTAATTTAGATATTCTCGACACAATAAAAAGGAAAGTTCAAAGGAAAAATAACGCCAAGATACTGATTAACAAGGAATCACTAAAAACAATTCTAATCTTGAACTTACAAGTTATCTGCAATCTTGTTTTTGCACCATTGTTCTCAGCCCACTGTATTAAACTGTTCTCTTTATCACACTTGTAATTTATATCAATTTTATTCTCCACTTTATCCTCAGTTCCTAACTCATGAATCCTAGAAATAATTGCATCTCTTAGATCTTGCAGAGCATGTGCTTGCATGTGTACTTGACTGGATAACGAGCTTTCGATAAGAGAAAGGATACAACTTTGAGCCTCCATCTCATTCCTGGGGCTGTAAAATCCCATTCCACCAACTGGACCAAAATAAAGTTCTACCTGCATCCCAGAAGTCCATTGCATTATCACTATTTATTCAAAGTTCAATAGATTATCGAAGGGACTTCATAAATCTGTATCTTGGCACTTCGATTGCCCATTGTGGCCTGATTTGTTAGAATGCTTTAAGGCGTGTGCCTAGGCTCACCTAGGCTTTGCACCTTAGTGTTAGACAATAACAGAACCTCAAGAGCCTCAAATCTCTTCAGGCTCATATTTGATTAAGGCATATGCGTGAGGCTCCTCCTAGGCACACCATTTTATAATGTGATGGGAGACTTTTAGGCATTGAAGGAGCCCTAGTACAATCTGTTTAGTGCCATATTTTTCTTTATTAGACTGCATAAGCAAGCATAAGTAAAAGCTACAAGTAAAGAAAGGTACCTGAGGAAGTGACTGTTTATCAAATCAACCCTCATCCCACAAAAAGAGAAATAAGTTCCAGCAAAATAAAAAATGAAAATAACCCCTCATTGGTTATTTTCACTGTTTGCTACCATGATCCACAGTAAATACCAATGGCTATAAATATGAAAATTGCAACTTACCTCATCTAAATGTATAATTCTAGCTATCTGCAGCATTTGATTCAAAGTAGAATGTAGTGAGCCAGAATCCAAAGAGTTCTTAATAAGTACAATTTCCTTGATATCAAATCCCCTATCATTGAGTAATCTCTGCCAAACATGGGAAAGAGCAGTTTGTTAACATAGAACATTCTCACCATCATCCATGTAAAAACCTTATTAACATTTCCAGTTTCAATTTCTCTACGTCAACCTATATAATAAACTCAAATCAGGCACAGCATGCACTTTCTTAACTTGGGAGGCCAGTTGCATATTACCAAAGATTACATTTTATTCATTTTTAAAACTCTAGAGAGTAGTGATTACTACTATTAACACTTTTAAAGGAAACGCAGGAATAAACATATTTTGATGAAGAAAATGAATGAGACTAAAACATGTTTATTGTTTCTCTAACCTTCTTTTTGTCAAAGAAAGGGTCAACATCAGAAAGTTCAATAAGTATTGAATAGCCATCTCTCGTTTCTGCTGTATTATCACATGAACAATGCTGCAGAAAACCAGTAATAAAATAAAAAGATTAATACAATTTTATTAAAAATAATAATATTAAATCTACAAATTGTTAACCATAACAACATCTTATGGTAATTAATATGTTTTTAATTGCTAACCATGCACAAACTTTTTTTTTTTTGATAAAATAAGGCCTCATTAAAAACCCCCTTCTTATCCTACATGTTACAAACATAACATGAAGGACATTGGAATGAGGAAAAGAGTGCCTCTAACTTTTATTAATTAGAACAATAATACACCTCCACTACTCAACAGCTAACAACTTCTTACAAAACAGAAAACCATAAATCTGAAAACAAAACACACCCTGAAACTCCTAAAAAGGAACTACCAAGGCATAACACCTTAACCATTACACAAAACGTAAGTTCAGCCTATACCAGCTTTAGCTAATTCATCCGCTTCCCAATTTGCTGCTCTCGAGATGAGCCTTGTGATGATACCCTTCCTCTCCACAGTAGAAGCTATATCCCTTACCAAGGAATGAAACAAAGTAGTATTAAGGTTCGGATTATTAATCCATTTCAGAGCATTAGAAGAATCCGATTCCAAAATGATCCTCTGATTTGAAAAGAGATCAGCTTCAACTTCCTCAATAAGAATCAACCCTCTCTTGATCGCCAAAAGCTCAGCGAGTAAGGGAGGACCTCCCCCTACCTTCTCTGAAAAAGATCCAAGCACCATCCCTCTGCCATCTCTAGTCAAGCCACCTATTCCACCCTTATCCCAACCTTTGACCATTGCACCATCAACATTAACTTTTAAGAACCCTATCGGAAGAGGACTCCACCTAGAAGAAGGAAGATACCTCTTATTCAGATTGACATGTTGATCAGCTAGTTTTAAATCCCCCATCAAAGAATCAAAATGAAAATGAACATCCTTAACTGATGTTTCAAACCAAGAAACAGTTCTGAAACGTGAAATGAAGAACAACAACGCTGAATCAACCTTCCTATTCTGGAAAATCACCTCATTCCTACATTTCCAAATAGACCACAACACTGCTCTTGAAATAAACTTCCATATATTGGATCGCGGCACTAAGTCATCCCAGGCAATTAGGAAGTCCATCACCGAACCAGGAACCACAAAGAAAACATTCCAAAACTTTAAAAACTTAGCCCACAAAACCCATACCACTTCATAGTGAAGAAACAAATGAGAGACCGTCTCATTGTACTTCCTGCACAAAGGGCAGACAGAGTCTTCAACCCCAGAAACTCCTCTCTTCAGCAATTCCTCTTTCACCGCAACTCTATGATGAGCAAGTTGCCAAACAAAGGATTCCACACGTGGTGGAGCTACTCCCTTCCAAACATACTGTTCCCAATTACTTTCTAATTGATCAATACCCTCTCTATCAAAATAGGTTTTCATGCATGATTTTGCTGTAAAACAGCCCTCTCCATTTCCCAACCAAATCCAACAATCTTCCTCTACTAGAGACAAAGAAGAGCTATTCAACAGAGAGATAATTACCAGCCACTGCTCAACCTCCCAATCCACCAAATTCCTTCTCATTTGAATATCCCAAACCCAACCCGAATCATTGTGCAATCTGAATTCTGCTACCTTACCCTCTTTGTTATTCGAAAGAGCAAATAACCTTGGAAACCTATCTTTTAGAGGAGCCGAACCCAACCAAACATCATGCCAAAACTGAACAGTTTCTCCATTTCCAGCCCTAACACACAAATTTCTCCTAAAACAATCCCTAAATGCATCACTTGAAAAGAAGTTCTTAACAATTCCTCTCCAAATCCAAGAACTACGAGCTGTCCAAGTATTCCGGATCATCAAAGAATTAGG